CACTGGGATCACATCCCATCTCCCCACTGGGATTATGTCCTCCTCACTGGGATCATCACCATCTTCCCACTGGGATCATATCCCCATCTTCCCACTGGGATCACATTGCCATGTCCCCACTGAGATCACATTGCCATGTCCCCACTGGGATCTTCTCCCCACTGGGATCACATCCCATCTCCTCACTGGAATTATATCCTCATCTCTTTACTGGGATTATCACCATCTCCCCACTGGGATCATATCCCCATCACTGGGATCAGATGACATCTGTTCTCCCCACTGGGATCATATCCCCATCTCCCCACTGGGATCATATTGTCCTCTCCCTGCTGGGATCATAGATCCATCTCCCCACTGGGATCATATCCCCATCTCCTCTCTCACCATGTTCTCCCTCATGCCAGAGGGAGAGGTGTCCTCCCCTGCAGCCCAACACCTCTGAGCCTCCCCCGTGCTCCACTTCCCATTACCAGCTCCACCATTCCTGCAGCAATTCCCAGATCCATGAGGAACCAGCCTGGGCAAGGCTGTCTGCTGCCCTCAACGTGTCCATCCCAGTGCTTGATGCCTGTGACCCTGGGCAAGTTCCCTGCCCCCAGCCAGAGCTCCATCCCTAGTTTTGACCTCCTGATGATCCCTGTGAGCATCCTCCAGCCATCACTGCTCCCCAGCATCCCATCACTTTCTCCTCCACATCCTGTCTGGGGGGTCCCTTGGGGCATCACCACCCCCTGCTCTGCCACGTGTCCCCGACTCGGGGTGTGATGTGAACAGGAGGTGACAACACTAATTGCTGACTCTCCCCTGACCCTGGGGCTCCTTGCTCTCCAGTTTCATCCTGTAGGACTGACTGCCGGGGAAATCAATCCCCCTCCCTCCCTCTGCCTGCTCCCAAAGGTGTTTGAAGATATTTTTAGCCCAGGAAGACGGGTCAGCTCCTATCCTGGAGGGCACAGCTGCTGTCCCTGTGCTTGGCTGCTCCCATCGATCCCTCCGGAGCACACAACGCTCTGTCTTCCCTTAAACACCACAGGGAACTTCAGCCTGGTGATGGAGAAGGTGTAGGGAGCTCAGCCACTGTCCCCCTACTCCTCAAAATACAATCCAGGCATGTCCTGAGCCTTAATTACCCATCTGTCTCCCAAGGATGATCAGGAGATGTGACAATTTCCACTCTCAGTGGCCTCCAGCTTCCCTGGGTGTCCAAGGGGAGATTGAGCCATGGACAAACTCAGGGAAAAACTATCCTAGTGATTAAATTTTGGCTGCTTCAAGGCAGAGGGGAATGAAGTGCACTGAGATTCTGGTGCTGGGCAGGGCTAGAGGGGATGGAAGTGCCATCCCAGCCTTGACAGCTGCTCTTTTCCAACCATGGCTCAGCTGTAGGGACAGCCTTGGTGTTTCCACCCCCAACATCTCCCCCCACCCTGTTCTGGCTGTTCTGCTCCTCTCCTGGGACCATCCCTGGAAATCCAAGGGTCATAGAATGGTTTGGGTTGGAAAGACCTTCAAGCTCAATTCATTCCACTCCTTGCCACAGGCAGGGACACTTTCCACTTGCTCCAACACTTCAAGAATGGGACATCCACAGCTTCTCTGGGCAACCTGATTCCAGTGCTGTTGGTTTGGGGGTGGGCAACCAGCCTCTGCCTGCCCCCCCTGCCTGCCCCTGTGCCCACCCAAGCGAGCAGAGCCCGAGCAGCTCCGTGGCTGCCTCCGGCACACGCAGCTCCCATTAACCTGGGCTCATCCTTTGCATTATTCTGAATTATTGATAGGCACCATTAGAGTGGGGAAGTGGCCAGGAAAGGCATACGGCTGAGTGGGCACATTTTCAGTGGCAGCAAAGGTATCTGAGCTGAGCAATTACAGCTGAGATTCAAACAGAGCCCCCCAACCCTCCTCCCCCTCTCCCTCCCTCCCTCCCGCAGAGCTGGAGGCTGGCAAAGGGATAAATAAATCATGAGACAGCACTCAGGGGGGGCTGACAGGGAGGAAAGAAGGAAAATTAGGATTAAAAAAAAAAAAAGCAAGTGGCCATTTGGGCTATTGCAGGGATTGTGTCTCCCAGCTCTTCCAGCTTCACAGGCTTTGGCAGGGGAAATGCTTTGGTTGTAGTGAATTTTTCCAAAACAAGTGAGCTGGTGGAATCAGGAAGATATTCAATGGGAGTGCTCGGAGGGAGCCCGGGGTGGAGGTGGGGATCCTGCAGCCCTGGGCCGTGCCCACATTCCTCCAGCTCATGCTTGGCAGGCAGGATGCTCTGCCGGGCCCAGCGCTGCCTCCACTTGCCCAGTGCACAACAGAGTGAGCACAAGGTCCACAGAGATATTCTCCCTACCCCAGCAAGGGGGGACAATGAGCTCTGCAGGTCTCCTTCCCTCCCCACCCCAAAATCCTGCTCAGAGAAGAGCTGGGGGTTGGCATTTGCCCCCTGGCAGCACCTGCAGGGTGAATCACCCTACAGTCACTGATGAGCTTCTGGGGATTCATCCATGCTGCTCTTGATGAAGGAATGAGTTCAGCTGGGGCAGGGCTGGGGGTGTAAAGGAGGAAGGTTTGCAGAGGTTTTGCTCTGGTTGTGATCCTCCAGTTTGTTTGCTGGCCCCATCTTTAGAGTAGTGAGAGGTATGAGCTCTCTAGTTGAGGTTGTGATCCTCCAGTTTGTTTGCTGGTCCCATCTTTAGAGCAGTGAGTGGTCTGAGCTCTCTAGTTGGTGCTGCTCCTCATCACTGCCCTCACACTGCTGTGCAACTGGGTAAGTGAGGGACATCCCATGCAGTAAGTATTTCCAAGGAAGGGGTGAATTGCTGGGATGTGGATGAAGAGATGTGGGGGGAAACTGAGGCATGGAGAAGGGAACAAACAGCTAGGAATGCAAAACCACCCTCTGGGTTTACATCCCTAGGAGATGGATTCCAACACCCTTGGCCAAGTTCCCTGCAGGAAGGACTCCCAGGTCACAGTCCTGGTCTCTCCACATCCTCCAAGGAGGGTGGAAATTCCCTTTAGCACAGAAGTTCTTGGAAAGAAATCAGGAAGATGAGCCATCTACCAGTCTGGAAGTGCAGGTAATGGGACAAGGGTTCACCTGAGCATCCTCAGGAGTGCAAGGCCACTCACTGTCTTCACAGCCTTGCCCTGGAATCCAGGTTCCCTGCAGGAAGGGCTGATGGGGATGGATGGCACAGTGGCATCAGGATGGGTCTGGACCCGCTGTACCCCTAGTGTTATTCTGCCCAGCAGCCCCAAAACCACAGCTGAGGGTGTGCAGCCCCCACAGCCAGGGGGATCCATCCCCTGCAGCCCCCAGAGCCAGGCACAGGGAGGGCCAGTGCTGTTCATTGATTTTGCAGGAGAGCAGAGGTATTTTTAGCACTGCCCTGACACTGCTCTGTCCCTGCTTTGTGCTGGCTCTACTCTGCTTATCCAGCTTCTCCCCTCCCAGCCTTTGCCTCCTCTTTGCTCCCTCCCAGCCCTGCTCTGTCCCTTCCCCCTCTCAGATCACATCCCCAGAGCAATCCAGGCTTGGCTGGCACAGCTTTTCCTACAAATACTTTGTCCTTAGGCCTTCAAAGGGGTTTGCAGCAGTAAATGTGAAGGGCAGATTGTTTCTGCCTCTCATGGCATTGTTTGAGCAGTAATAGTTGGACTAGTTCATCTGTAAGCAGTTACACAGGTCTCAGCACACATCTCCCACTGACATTTATGAAGCATTTGGCATAGGCAACGTGCCTGGAACTGGCTGGGAGAACACAGTTCCCCTCTCTCCTGAGGTTGATGTGATTAGCTTCTCCCCTCTCAAACTTGCTTTTATTTTGTGGGTTTTTACTAGGTTTAAAAGAAACAATACAGGTGGTTCAGTGGGAGACATCCCTGTGGCTGGATCCAAGGCCAACACACAGTCAGGGTAGGGAGGGGGATTTTTTTGGAGGCAAATGTTGGCTATGAGCCAGTAGTTGGGGAGACATCAGGAGGGGAACAGTGCTGGAAGAGTCTGCAAATGTTCCTGGGATCAATGGGTCCTAAACCATGGAGAGGAGGGATTGGCAGAGCAGATCTTTGGGGAAATTCTGGCAGTGATGCTGATGTCAGTGCAGAGCTCATGGAATGAGGTGGATCCACAAGGATCATCAAGTCCAACCCTGCAAGGGACCACCCCAAAATCCCACACTGTGCCTGAGAGCATTGACCAAACACTCCTGGAGCTCTGTCAGCCTTGGGGCTGTGCCCACTGCCCTGGGGAGATGTTCAGTGCCCAAACACCTCTGGGGGAAGAACCTTGTCCTGATATCCAACCTAACCCTGTCCCAGAGTCCAAACACCTCTGGGGGAAGAACCTTGTCCTGATATCCAACCTAACCCTGTCCCAGAGTCCAAACACCTCTGGGGGAAGAACCTTAACCCAATATCTAACCTAACCCTGTCCCAGTGCCCAAACACCTCTGGGGACAGAACATTGTCCTGATATCCAACCTAAATCTGTCCCAGTGCCCAAACACTCTTTGGGAGAAGAACCTTATCCTTATATCCAGCCTATCTCCCCCCAACACAGCAGATGGGTGGCC